TGGAGTCTCCCAGAGGAGCCGCCGTGATGTGGTGGGGAGACAGCCGAGCTAGCAAAGGCTTTAGCGGGCTATCGGGTGGTAACGAGCGGCAGAGTGATCATCACTCATTGAGACAGCCGGTGTCACGGAAGTTTAACTGTCTGCGGCTTTGGTCATCGCTCTGGCTCTCCACTACGAGGGGAGCCAGACAAACTTTAGCCGCCAGCTAGCCTGAAATATTACTTCGTCCGAATTCATCAAACATATCTCCGCAGAAATCGCTGAACGTCTGCAGGAAGCAGTCCAAATCCATACAGTAAAAAAGGACTTGTGTAAAGTATGACAAATTTGGTCTTCGGCTTTACTGTGAGGTATTGTTTGGATACTGTATTTAGAAGGTCTTTCCCTGTGAGTTACTGTGAATACCAGCTCAAGAGGATATTACTGGCGTAAATTGGAAGGCAAAATGATAAGTACGGCCTACCTATAACCAAAGTTTATGTGTAGTTAATTGGAAACGTGTCATAACTAATGGGCTTCTATTGGAAGTGACGATTAGACTTACCAGGAGATAAACCACAATGGAGTGAATTTTTCAAACATTTTGAAATCCATTAACTGAAGCACACAAAGGTTTTGAGCAAATACAAAGGTCGACAAATATGTATCACAAACTGCATTTGATAAGCGAGCAAATTTTCTCCTTCCAAACTTTTGGCTCTAGTCCAGAAAATGCAAAAAAAAGTCTTTATTGGAAAGTAAACTTTATATACTAAAAAGTTTACCATAGTTTTGGTCCATTATCTATTAGTATGGCGCTGACGCCAAGGTTGGAGCGTTATAATTTACGAGTGTGTCTACTGAGCAACTAATGAACTGCACCTAATCAATACGTAAAGAGACACGAGTTGTAAGACAAACCCTTCTGTCTGGGCGTCTGTTGTCTTCCTCCGTTTCATCCACGTGAAGGAGTACAAAGAAAGTTGAAGGCTGTTCAATGCCAGGCGCCCCAAGAGGGAGCTGGAGTCCCGAGGGACAGGAACGACTTACCGGCTCACTCATGGGCACAGGCGTAATGAACCAGGTAAGGATCGATATCAGGAGAGACAAGGACTCTGCATGGGACCATCTCATGCTTCTAGTCTTGCTTGGTAGAAATGGATGGGGTAAGGTTGTAGTTCACAATTGAACTGCTAGAGGCATGGTGGCACTGTGGTCAAAGAGGCATATAAAGAGGCGCACAAATCTAGACCAAGCCACTGGCATGATGTGCATTATTACCATATCAACAGCACCACCAAATGAAGCGGCGGCCTGTTGGTGTCAGATCGTGATCGTCCAGAGAGCCTTGCCATCGCTGTTTTACTGTTCTCCAGTTCCAAATCTTTGGAATGACATTTACTGAATGATTTACCCCATGCAAATGTCCCGTTTCGCTGAAATATTGATAAAGAAAATGTTAACAAAAAATTCGATCGATAAAGTTCCCCGAGGATTGGCTAAGCGGATACAATATCTGTAGAATTTGGGTACGTACTTAAGTTACTAGAAGTAAGCTTCCTTGTTCCGACCAAAGTTGCATGAATGTGAAAGGAAGCGAAACAGGCTTAACAGTAAGACGAGACATACCCTGTCAAACTGAAGTTATCAATGGCACAACCAGCATTTCAGCACCACGGAGAGTTGAAACCGCACTTGTTAGTGCGAATCACACACTTACATTTTATTGTTTTGTTATTCTGTTACCTATAACTCTTCATTATATTTTTCAAGGACAGTTGCATTGATGTGATGGTTCCAATTTATTGTTATTGACTAGGAAGACCACAAACTACTCCGTTGGGCATACAGTATCTCCAGTATCTTTGATCCGTCCCAAATATAACCAACGAAGTAGATATAGAATGATGACGTTGCATCACTTTGACCGTTATAAATTTTAATCATTGCGAAGGGTCACTGACAAACGGACAACATATGTCTTGCATCTCCACGACGTCTCAATCTTCTTGTGTGCCTTATGTTACCCGAAGCCTGACTCCTGATGTTTGTAGAAATACCGTAAATAACGGCAATAATAACTGTAGAAATATTGCCTCGGGTTGACTCAAAACAAGGACTGGGCGGCACATTCCACATCTAGACTTGCAGTCCACATAAAGGTCACATAAATAATAACGTATGGGTGGAAAACAAGATTCTTTTGCATACAAGTATATTCCTTACTCGTCCCCAAACTGCGCTATAGCAACATTACTTTTGATTACATAGAACGCCTTCCTAACTTTCTATAAGCCTGTCTTATCTTTGTAAAAGTTTCATCAGTCAATTATCGATCCTATCAACAACCATTGTTGGAGTCCAATTCCTCTATAAGTAAAGTAAGTACAAACAGGCGTCCATGGAAAACAGTGTAAGTTTCCTTTGTAAGCCCTAGCCCCGACGTCTACTTGTGCCGCACATGCAGCTCTTTGCACCACATCAAAGTTGACATGTGGATCTCCCCAGCTTGCCACAAGTTTTGCCTGGGTTCAAATCCTCCCCATGTAACCGTCGCATCCACTCCACATCGGCCCCTGATAGCAACTTTTTCTGACAGCTTTCCATTCGTCTTGCACGGAGAAACAGTGGCGGCTCCAAACAGTCTGAAGCGGCTCCGGATTCCATTTGTTTTCCTGACAGCCACATTAACACTATCAATTACATGCACTGATCAAATTTACGATATCATAGCAGCACTCTGTCGGTGGGATGGTAGCCAGCTAAAGCCCGATTGCCCTGTGGTTCCCATCAGTTATTTTACAAGTATAAAGCAAGGATAAACACGGATCAGTGCAGCAATGATCTTATCAAACTTTCCTGAGAACCACCGGGAGGCATTACCATTCTTCTTCCTGGCTGCACACAAGTACGGAAGGAACTTTCTATACTATCGGAAGTGACGAAAACAAAAGGAGTTTGTGATATGTACATAAAAGTTAAGGTCTGTGAGTCAAGTTTGAGTGGTTTTACTTTAGGAATAGTGAATACATTAATTTAGCATAACATTTTGCACCAAAATTGGAAGTGACGACGGGTTGGAAGCTGGGTGTCTGTCTTGTCTAAAAACATTTCACAAACTTGTGCATGTGTGTGTGTTCTGGTTGTATGAAAAAAAATCTCCACCTGCGTTGGTTGCAGTCACATTGTTGGGAGCTGATTTGAATGTATGAATACTTTGGGTGACAGTCATTGTGTTGTAATTGTAGCCGCTTCTTTCTTGTTCCATGTAAGCTATGTGTACAACAAACTAATTACTTGTAACAGCAGATAAGGACCAACCATCCCAAAGGAGAGATATTAAAAAGCTGCTGACATATCAGCCTTTCTCCATTTGTGGTGCACCATGATGAGTGTTCACCCCACATACAAATGGTCTACTTCATCATTAATGCTATTATTGTTCCCAACAGCCCTATTTGTTCAGCCAGCAGCGGAGAAGCACTGGTCATATTTGTCATTCTTATCAGATGAGGTTGACTTTTAAGCTTTCAACATGCATAAGACAATTCATTCACTGTAACATGTAGTTCTCTAGAAGCTGGTATGCCCACTTTTGGAGTACAATGCTGTGGGCTCAAAGATACCCATCATGGAACAGCAGCTTGCCTGCTATTGCTGCAGTCCTTGAAAGGGGATGTTGCATTGAAGAAAAAGCACAATCTTGACATGACAGTGTTAGGACTGGTGGTCAGTAGCTTAAAGTTTAAACCACCTTACATTGCAGCTTGTTCTTATCAATTCTACAGTAAAGAAGTGGTGCGTAGTGCCATGTGGCGGTTTACTGGTTATGTGACTCAGATCCAGAAACCACTCCTACACATAACACCACATAATCCATACCACCCAAGTCCAGTAAAACACTGTCATATTGCTGTTGACAGTTTTCCAATAACTTCCAACTGTAGCAGACTAGCTGTTGTTCGATACCCTTACAGTCCAACAGTTTGTCATACTGCTTGGATTATGACAAATACCTCTTTAGTTTGGATCAATACCCAGGGGTCCCCAGGCAATACAGAATGGCACTGGTAATCCACCATCTTGATAGATGATGTTACTTTCATGACCTTCAAGAACAAGATGCCTGCCATTTAATTAATGCACTTGTCTACACACCCCTCTGGATGGAATAAGCCTTTAGAAGTGATGCCGGCAATCCATTTTCTTGTCAACAGGGACCACATTTTTCACAATCAATACGTCTGTATTTGCTCATATTTCTCCTGTATGGCCATCCAATCTCACATCGGTGGACGACCAAGGAATGTTAGAATGGAGCATCACAATGTGTAATTACACATAGCACATTACAGGCAGCTGGGACACAGGAGGAACCAAGGTCAGTCCAAAACTTCCTTAGGTCTATCTAGGACATGACCTTCCCATGGTTTTGACATAAACAGTGGGTGACCTTAATCCATTTCTGATATCTATCCAGCATAGTTTGTTATATGGTACCTTTGATGATGATATCAATTACTTACAGAGTCACTTTGTATGCTGTAATGTTATAGTACTTTACATGGAGTTTTGCCAAAATAGGAAAATAAAAATTAAAAAAAGTTCTATGTTATTGAGATTTCTTAAAATTACTGCTTTCTTCAAATGTAGTTTTTTTTCAAAACCCAACAATAATTTGACCAATTCTCCAGTATATGACTTGGGGTAGAAGATAATTATGCAAGGAATCCAAAGCAGAACAGATAGTAGGAGTCCCTTTACATAGTGGACTAGTCCACGCCTTACAAAAAGACCGGGAAGATTGAATCATTGAGCGATGGAGGTCAACTCAAATGACCTTGTAGCCATCCCTCACTATCAGACACTTGGGTCAACCATCTTGGTGAGATCTTAATTCATTTGTCTCATAAATATGGTCGTGCCTTTTGTCCTTCTGAAGACACAAGTCAATGGCACAGATCAAATGCCCCAAGAAAAGAAGAAGGAATCCCGCTGATATCTCCCTGACGCAATCTGACCTGGAAGCCATTTGTGATGACATCGTGGCAATGTGGAGGTCATCATGTGTACATCTGTTTCTGCAGCCCATCATCAGGATCACCACTTCAGCCTAATGGTGACAGAAAACAAATTGGAAATGATTGGTGGCTGAAGAAAGGTCAGACTGCCACAATGATGAAGTTGCAGGGAAAAATTATAAAGGGTTAAGGGACAAACCAGAAATAATCTTAGGGAGGGATAGATATGTTTTTGCATAATTCTTTCCAGTGAACAAAAGTTTTCCTTTTGTCATTTTGCCTTTTGCATGTCTATGTGTAATGCAGGTCTTTTTCCCTTACCACCAGGTGCAAAATTTCCCATTTTCAAACTTATCTCCCATAGTTCTTTCTGGTCTATCCCTAAAGGAGGGAGGGGGGAAGGGCAGACAGTACCAAAGTAGAGAAAATAGCTTGATAATAGTTTATTACCATTGTTCTTATCATAAATCTAATTCTTTGGACTTTAGCTGATGGTGTTAGTTGCTAGAAAACTGGACATTTATTCTCTCTTGTTATAACTTCTGAATGCAGCAGTGACCAGCAAGCACTGTAAGGGTAAGTTAAGAAATTATTTTTCCAATCAAGAATCAAGTTTTCTTCAATTGTTAAAACTTTTATTTTGAGCCCAAGTTCTGTTAAACCTATTAAGTTTCATGGAACTCGCGCTTAGTTCTTAAGAATGTTTTAATATGTTGATCTGCATCTGGAGAATGTACGGCATCTGTGTGTGCTGGATGCCAGGGGACAACAGTTGATGAAGTTATCTCAGCAAAAGTCAACTGGACTTGATGATGAAGTAACAGCGGTGGAGAGACAAAGAGAGCTGATGATGGGTTATCTCTCTGGAGACACCATGGAGCCACAGAGGTCAGATTTCAGTGACCTTTCAGAAAGAAATTAATGGGGGAAGCAGACTGGAGCCTATGGCCATCCTGGAACAGAAACATGGGATTCTGCAAAAGGTATATCTTAGATGAGATGTTCTTATATCAGCAATCATTAACTTGATGGTCAGTCAGGACCTCTGTACTTTAATACTTTGACAAATGGTAAATCAAGAATCAGAGGATGAGGACCAACAGACATTACACAGGATGGTGAGTGAGTGAGATGTCCAAGTGACAAAGTCAAAAGAAGAGTTTTGCAAAAGGTTTCTAACAGACAGGAAATAGCAAAAAAAGGGCAAAAAAGCAAATGGAGTTCCCAAATAAAGTGGAACATGTTACTGATATATCAGTTTGGATGGAGAGTTTGGTTTCATGCTGCAATACCTCATTAACCATAAATCGTAGGTTTTATATACACTGGAGCCCAAAATGTCATTTTTCTTTCAATGACTACTTACACGTCCCCCACAAATGTCACAAGGAATGGCAATGGTCAATTAGTTAGACAACAGAGCAAGCGTGAAGCCTAAGACTGGCATCTTGTCCTTCAAGCATCATACACGTACATGTATGTGCTCTGTCCGTAACCTTTCCTTGAACAAAACTTATGATCCATAGCAAAATTCCAGTAGTCTAATATCACCCTAACCCTCCATTGCTTTGTTTGTTTGTTTGTTTTTCAAAACTCACACAAGACACTGCAAAATGTTGGAATGTCGTTCGATCCTATCTTTTCCTCCCAACATGAGGAAGAAAGCGATGGGCCAGAAATGATTCATCTCGGGGTCAGCGGCAGTGACCTTGTGCGGTGACATCTTGCCAACAGCAGACACAAGTGACTAATAGCGATGAGCTGAGGCCTGCAGTTCAACAGGCAGTTTGTAGGACATTGTTCAGGGGGCAAGAGTAGATCGATTCAGTGGGATTTGCACCTATTCTCAACGTTGTAAGTTATTAACTCTGCTGTGATGAGGTTATGTCTCGAGTGTTGTTGGCAAATGTTGTTGGCAAGCTGTATTGCAGGAAGAAGTGATTGGCTCATATGTTCAAAGGAACAAATAATCAACTTTAAGCACAGATCTGGATTTAGATGATACAGGTACTTCTTCAAAGAGTCTTAAGCGTACCGAGAGGGTGTGGGGAATGGAGATGTAGTGCCAATTTAGGGGAGCCTGTTGCAAAGAAAATCATGCATGCAAAATAGGTCAATGGGACAAATAAACTAGATAATAGATTAATCCAAGATGAAATGTTAGAACTAAGTCACTCTAAAGTTTTCTTCACACTTTAATGAGGTTGACCAACTCTGAGTGCTTTTTTATAGTTGGTCATCGGTATTTACAAAGTGTTTATAGCAACAGTAAATGCAGTCATAGCATTTGAAACCAAAAGCCAATCCACAATGACAATGTACTATTCTTGACCTGTACTGTGTATTACAAAAATTATTTGCATATTGTCCAGTTTGTGTACATTGATTCTCCTTTGTCTTCCTATTTACAAAGTAAATGAACAATAATCTGTTTTTTAGACCAGCCATCCATTCCTCCATCCCCCATCCATCAAGCCTCATCATTTTTAGGCCTGACTTGCGCTGGCGGCTCGCTGCCAAATGACCTTTCTGGGCTTACGGAGGTGTTAAGCAGCTCATTAAGAGAGAGACATACTGGAGACAGTCAGGCTGCGTTCCACTAACTCACCGACCCATCCTGGCACCAACGGATTACTGATCAGCCCGCAATGTCAGACAAATGAAGTTCCCTTCATGATAAAACAGCCCATTTTCTCCAGATATAACACTGCGTCAGTGGGAATGAAAGGTGAGGTGAGCAATGTCATCAGTAGTATCCGCTGGCACTTTGGAACCTTTGTGGTTTGGTGTTGTGTGACTTCTGAAGACCTTTCACATTTAGGCATTTCAGAGTAGATTATCAGTCTGAAGGGAAATGTAGATCCAATTACCAGCACTCCTCGGTCCTTGTCACCTATGCAAATTTGATTATTGTACACATCACAGCTAAAAATATAAAAAAAACAGGGCAAATTTACAAATACCTCCAAAGTGTACTGTCATTCTCATAAGACAACAGCATGAATAACACACTTAATGTTTGTTTGCTTTAACAAATACTATCCCACAATGCCTTGGCATGTTATTTTCTTTCTGAATACCAACAACAAATAAATCAAATGAGTGTGGCCTAACATACAAACCCCTCATCTCAAAATTCCAATTTCATCAGTCTCTTGTAGACTTCAGCTTAGAGCTTGAATATTTATAAAACAAACAACAGTCTTAATAGGTCTAGCCTAACTGTATAATGTTGGTTCTTTGAAGATACTGTACATTTGAGCCTGGTCTTTAAAGTTTTCTTGAGGTAAAAAATACAACTGACCTTCAGCAGGTATAGAAGGGCTTTGAGAATTAGGGAAGAGCGACCTTCTCCCGGAGTAGTCGGATATGTCCCAGGAGGCGCCCCATCCGCCTGCATGTAATGTCTTTTAATTAACCCAGGCCTAAAATAAAGTGACCTTTTAGAGAAATAGATTCAGCTGATTTTCTGGTCTTCTGCTTGCAGCAAATTGAGGAGTCAGTGAGTCAACCTGGGAGGGTCTTAGTATTGGTGAGAGTCTTGCAGGGGTGGGGGTTTGGGGCACACAAACTTTCTGAATTGGCCAACTCAATCCAGTGTCGTGGTTCTCAATCTCATCTCAAAACTGCAAGAAGATCAAAAGTACAAAATATAATACAGTAAGCAAATTCAGGGTGTCATAATCTCATCTGTGACCATTCCATGTCATAACAACTCCCCCCCACACAGTAGCCGGATGTGTTAAGTGTCCCAAATGGCCAGTTAGACATTTTCCATGCAATGGAACAGTACAATAACAATCTTTCAAGACAATGCTGCCATTTTCTTCTCATTAGGTAAGGTTAGGGCCTGACCACTACACACTCCACAACCCTCCAAAAAGTAACATCAAATCTTGTTGTTTTTTTTTGACTGACAAATCTGAAATCTAAACTCTGACTGAGACGAATCCATCTAAGATTTTATGTACATTTTACAAGAGAAGGGCTTCTACAGGTCTTAAAGAGGCTAGAACCCTGGGGGACTCAAAGTGGACCCCGGATGCCTGTATAATAGTGGCCTTTGCCCTGACATCTCCCAGTTGAGTGATGGATGCATGCATCCTCCAAGAACGATATGTGGTTGACATATGTTACCCTGGGATGCTCCTGTAGCCAGGGACCAATAGTTTGAGCTTTACAGGAGACAGGCCACCGAGGAGGGGCAGTTGTAGACTGTCTGAGGGCAATCCACCTCAATGGAAGGCAGATGACATCATATGCTCTGTGAGTCTTCCTTCAGGCTATGATCAAGCTTCTTGATTATGAATTTAGTTTTAGATTCATAACAAATACTAGACAAATATAATAATAAACTATAGCTGTTGTTCTTAACTTCCAAATGAGGACTAGAATACAGAAAAATAGGAAAAACCAACAATTCACACAGGATAAGAAAACCGTGTAAAGGAAGCTAGTCAGTTCCAGGCAAAGAAAACATCCAGCCTGAAGGTTAAAAGAACAGGGACAATCTTTACAAAGTCATTCAGCACCAAGGACAGAGTTCACTACAGTCAACCAATTAGTTCACTACAGTCAAACAGTGGACATGGACAAAGTGCAGCCAATCAGCACATACAGAATTTAGGAGTAAATTCAACAAACAGATGCAAACAAATTGTTCATGATGCTTTAGTTTTGAAAGCTCAAAACAACCAATCAGCACCAAGGACAGTGCCTGTAAGGTGTTGGCCACTAACAAGGGACCAAACACCAACCATTAGAGTTAGAAAACTCCACCGAAATGTAAAGAATTCCATTTCCCAAGATGTACAAAACATGATTGTAATTTTGTTATCAAATTGATTTTGGACCTAAGATCTGCAAAATTTTGCCCACTTATCTTAAAACAATTGTCTCTAGAACAAACCAAGTACATAGTTTCATCTCTTTGCAGCTTACAAATGAGTTATGAGTGAACAACTAACCATTACGAGTTCTGAGAAAGTTAGAAAACAGTTTCTTGGTATGGTATCAAGTACTGATTTCCTTGACTGTTGACCATGACATGTATTTTCTAAATATCCTGTGCACGATTTCTGCTACATTGAAA